GAGACTTCACTTCTGCCTCAAAGAAATTTAAGAGGTTTTGAAATTTAGGGAGACTTCTTGGTGCGTATACGTGGCACACTTTAATCGTTATAAACCTATTTCATTGTTTAAAACTTTACATTACATTTCAAAAAATTTTCTGTATAAACATTGTATTTAAATGATTAAAAAAGAAAAAAAAAGAATCTTTAAAGATATTTCCCCCCGATTACAAGGTATAAATATCTAGAAAAAAATAATAAAGCAGCATTGACATTAAATAAAATTTACTACTACTATTAAACTATGAAAGTTTCTTATTGTCAGATTTATTGTTTATCAAACTTTTTTTTATTTCTTATATAGTAGTACAATCCTAAACTTCTAAAATTTCTCTTCTCATTAAATTTCCAGGCTTTTGGCATAGCCATAATTTTGTTTATTTCTCTTCAAACTTGTTTTCATATAAAATTCTGTTTCTAATAAAAGTTTTGATGCACACCTGCATGCCGATTGAACAGCTACTTATAAATGTTTATCGAATCTGTCTTCTGGTGTGTAACTTCTTAGAAAGCTAATAACTTGACAATTTATCAGTAAAAATATGTCTGTTTTCACAGCATGAATTAATTATTTGACAATAATAAAGATCTAAAATCTTCTCCAACATCTTTGGCATGACATCGATAGCTATCCAGCTGTTTTGCGTCTTGTTGTGTATCACTTGTAACGATGGACTTTTTCATACCCGGAAGTGTAAAATCTAGAGGAGTTCCGACGGAGTATTCGAGACATTGGTCATTGGCAATGTGGTTTGACAATCTGTATTTGTAGAGTTAATTGAATGTTTGTGAGAGTTTGGGTTAATGATTAACATGTGTTGTAAATTTTGGTTTGGTCAAGAAAATTTCGAGCCAGACACATTATTTTTATTTTCGTAAATAGGGAAAAATAGGGTCGGCGGAATCGTAAACCAAGAGAAAAAAAACTTTGGCCTAAGTGTATAATTATGATCAGCAATGGTGCCTCTTTCAAAATTGTGAATGTCATGAAGTCTAGTTTAAAACATGAACCAAATTCAATCATTTGAAAGATGTTGCATGATGCTCAGATGAGCTATCAGGCCCAGGGGCCTCTTGTCTTAAATATTGTAACATAGTTTCACATCGTTGGGTGAACTGCATTAAATAACAAACCAGGATGATACATAATTGTTTTCCTGACGTGTACAGATCCCAGGTGGCTCCTAGCTCATCAGAAATAAAAGTTACATCTTAACTTTTTAATTTTCTCATTAATTAAAAATCTAGATAAAACAAGGATTAAAAATCAAGAGAGCGGACTTCTAAGAAGATGTGCTTACCTGACGTCATTAAAAGAAGAGCGAGCAGGTCTTGTCAGAAGTAACATTTCACCAGGGGGGACATTTTCTCTCTTGTAATTAATTAATTAATTAATTGGACTGCAGGCACATAGACATGTAACACAAGGTCACGGAGAAGGTACAGGGGTGTATAAAATAGTGTCATAAGCTACAGGGTGTGTGTAAAATAGTGTCAGAAGAAATACAGATCAGAGATGCTGTGTTTCTGTCCCCCCATAACTGCCCTATAAATGATGTGTCGAACTGGTAGTCACATTAACTGGAATCTTTTCTTTCTGTGATGAGTGGCCATATTAAAACAGTGTATTCTGGGATGTGACTCATTTTTTAAGTGATGTAAACAAAACTAAGGCTGTTTATGCTTTCTGTGAAAAAAAAAGAGAGAATGTGATTTTTGTGGTATGAGTAAGGTATGTTCTTCAGTTCTATGAAGGGACGTTTCTCACAAAAAGAAACTTGGAGGCAGTGGCTCTTTAGGTCAATAAAGTGCCCTTGTTCTTTTCAAGGAATTTGACGAGATTCATAATGAGCCTAAACTGATATAATTTTTTATGGGAAGTAAATTGTGAAACATTGTGTGACAGGATAAGAGCAGAGGGAGACATTTTTTAATGATGCCCATTAATGTAAGACCTTGTGAGAATGTCTGATAGATGATAACTTTGATGTACGGTAGTTTGTAGAGTGTTGATATATTGTTATTAGTACAAGATTTTTTCAATTTAGTGCAATTGACCATATATGACTAGTTCAGGATGAATTTTTTTCTAGCTTTAGTTTTATCTCGTACTAGAAATAAAAAATAATTATAAAATGTAAAAGAAACTTCAAAAACTATAGTGATAAAAGTGTTTTGCATATCAAACGTAAATTTCTTTGATTTCTAAAATTTTTCCAATAGAAATATCTTGTATATTGTTTACCTTGGTCAATCTGAAATATAAAACCTATTAATTCAGTTGATAAGTGTTTTGTAATTTCACTGAGGTTCTATAATTAACAGTCATAATTTTTTTTTATCAGAAAATATAACTTTGATTATTGAACAGTGCCGTGTCAATTGAAGTCTTGATGGCATGCAGTGTGTTGAAAATGATCATTAATTTGAGCGATAATTTTTGTCAAACATAAATGGTGAATATAATCAAAGTACTGAAAGTACTGAAAAGCGGTTAGCATGCTTTCATCGAATATGTACAGTGTACAATAACAAAAAATGCATTGAATTATATCTTTTTCCAGTGTCATCAGCAAGGAAGCAGACACACTGAAATTTGTAGTACTGAACTATATGGTATAACCAATAACATCCCAGACTGATGACACAAATGTTTGTTTCAAAATATCAACCTGAGATTTTGAGTTTGAAAGACAGAAAGTTCAATTTCAAAAATTTCTCCCTAATTGTCTCCATTGGTGGCGTCCAAAAGTGCTCAGAACGAAAAAAAAAATTATGTTGATGTTGCAAATTTAATTGGCTTTCATGCTCTATTGATTCTGAAATTAGGTAACTGTAAAGGCTACTATAGCAAACAACTCAAAAAGAAAACAAAATGATAATTCAAATTCTTTAGATTAATTGATTTGGAGTACTGTACATAGATCTTTAGCTGGCTAGTCTGAGAAAAACGGATGCACGAGCAGAGAATTGATTAATTTCAGAGAGCTTCAGTTTCGTAGGCTCACTACGGGTCAGCAGGTGTGACCTGTCATTGGGGATGCTTACTTCTCTTAGGCACCGGAACTTTCAAGGATCCGGGGTTTTTTTTTTGAGACCGATCACTGTTCATTCTGTATTTTGATACAGATACTGAGTACATCTGTTTATTAATATTATGAACTATTTCTCTTACAGGAAGAAAGACATGTAAACAAGATAATAAAGTTTTAAGAAATGTACATTATTGACTTTTCATACAATTAATGTTCGAATAATTAAATGGTATATGACAATTATTTAAAAAAGAGTCTTGCACGATACGTATAAACGAACATATACTGAGTATTTGGCAAATATTTTTCTTGAAATATTGTATAAAAAAAAAACGTGTGAAAAGGAAAGTTGTTGTTTTAATCTATCAATACTAGTATTTTAAAAAATTCAAAGGTTCACTAAAAATCAGTGTATAACAAACAATTTAATTGTCCATTGCAAGAATTACAGAACCTAGGTATCATTGTCACTTTCTTCAATATGTCGCATAAGCAATACATTGTTGTTGGTTTTTTTTTTTTACTAAAAACAAGTATGCGAATTTCTATCAATATGTCTGTAAGCATCTGTATTTTAATTTTTATTTCTTCTCAAAGGCTCAAAATGCTAATTAACAAATTGGACAAATTCAAATTTATAAAGTATTTTTACAACTTATACCTTGCATAGGAATTTAGCAAACTTTAAAAAATAATCATTCATTAGATATAATTTTCAATTTGTGCTTATCGTCAAGATTTTTCATGCCTCTTTTTTCTGTGCATATTTTATATCGGCTGATTTTTAGAAAAGGATCGAATGCCGATTAAATTTTTTTCTCCAATTTTTTAAAATTAGTTTTAGTATTCTCAGGCTCCCATTATTTTTTTTTTAAATAAAAATGTTATCGTTTAAAATCGTTTGTAATAATTAGACTGAGTACAGAATTTATCCCTGGAAACAAAGCTTTTACCATCTTTTAAATAATTTCAATTGAGAAAAAAAAGGAGAAGAAAACAAACGTTTCATTATGGAAGTAATCCATAACTGTACAACTTACAGATATATTCAGTATTTTTATATAAAGGCTTTCTTCGTGTACTAGTATTACTTAAGTTAATTAAAGGGATGCCTTAATATTTTGGAAAATGAAACTCGATCGAGAGATTCTCCGATGTTTTGCAGTCGGTAATAACCTTCAACCCCTTTAGCCAGTAATTAACCCGTCCTCCCTGTGCCCAGTAGCATAATTCGGTCAAATATTTATTGTTCATATGAGGGGTGCCTTAAAATTAATCATAGGCACCTGAATTTTTATCAGTAAGTCTCTAAATTAGCAAAATATCGAAACATTCTACCCCCTCTATATATAAATACACAAGGTGCCCAATGCCATTTTGACCACCTGTTCGATTCAGGCTTCAATTTAACACATAAATTGGAAATGCCTACTGGTTTTCGTGTAGCATTGGGTTCAAATATGATATTTCTCGCTATACCTTTCTTCTTAATTAAAAGTTTAAATCTAACGCGTTGATAATATTATCAGCTAAACTTCATGCTGACTTCGAATTTCGTCACAGGACCCGATCGCCATCAGCTGATGTCACGGAAATTTAATCTCGAAAGCAAATGCTCCTATACATACACTTTTTTTAATACAACAATTATAAATTTATATATATATTTTATATTTATATATAAATTTATTTCATTGACAAACAAAATCAGAAAAAAATTAAAAAACCGAAAGATTATGTTGTTTTGATAGTCTTGATTTTATTTAACATATGTTATATGTCTTAGATACAAATCATAGGTACTAGGTAGAGGCTTTGTTGAAGTTTCCGTTGTCGATAGGTAGTGCCTTATTGAAGTTTCCGGTGTCGATAAAAATCGGACACATGCCATAAAGCGGTTAGCGAAGCTAACCGCTTAAAAAGGCTTTTCTTCAGGCCATAAAAAGTACACTACTATTTGGATCAAGAAAAAAAAAGTTCAGATAAAAATGAAATTCCATTCGTTTAGGCCCTTTAGAGGCATGATGAACAAGTTGTTTGTTGAAATGTGACACGTCCAGAAAAAAACATGACAAAAAAGGACAGTGGGCTTTGTGAAGTAAATTGTACAGTGACCATATCAAAAGATTTAGTACTGGACAGTAAGCTGGGAAAATATCTTTTGGTTTGATGGAATTTGTAGCCAAAGTAAACAAAAAACACCATCTAAAGATGTAGAATATAGATGTCATTTGTCAGTTTTCAGTCAAATAATTGTTGCGATGCTTCACAATTTTAATTGGTCTAAAGTGTGTTACAAGGGGAAAAACCCTGAATTTTTGTAAGAAAAACCTTAAATAATTGGAAGAGACCTCAACTTTTCTAGTTAGTATATTACTTTTTTGCGCAATCACTTCAAAAGTCAGTTCTGTACAGGCAGCTTAAAGCACCAAACCCTGGGAGTTGATTGTTATGTTATGTCAAGTGATAAAAACATTTCCTGATTCTAAAGTGCCGCTAAATTCTTTATTTCTGTATTTTACTTCAGCTCTTTCTGATGAGTTGTCAGTCTGGATATATTTTACTACCTTTTTAATACAGCTATACGAAAGGATTCTACATGTTAATTTTAATTGTAAGAAGGGGTTCCTTGTTATTATTTTAAGCTGTGAGAAGGGTTCCCACATCGAGTTCCAGTTTGACTTTGGTGATGGTACGACTACAGTGGTACAGGGGAGAGAGGAGATGTTTCTTAACTACGTCAAAGGCAGCACGTCTCACAGATATACACAGAGTAGGTGGACCGTTCATATACTAGACATATAAAAGCTAGAACATGTATTACAGATATACACAAGGTAGGTGGACCATTTATATAGACATAGAAGAACTAGTTTTACAGATACACACAGGGTAAGCTACATAGTCAAACCATTTATATAACTACTTATTGATCCAAATCTCAGCATCTTAAATTTGAAACCGGTTTCTGTTTAGAGCAGTTTTGTTTTCATATTTCAGAGGGAGTGTTTAACATTACGGTGACAGCAATAAATCCCCTTGGCAACAGAACAGCAACACTTGACGGGCTGTTCTATGTACAGGCCTCACCGTTTGGATTAAAGCTGGATAAATCCATTTACTCCACAAAACTTGGTGATGTCACTGTTATGCGTGCTACTTTCTCTCATGGTACCAATGAAACATTTGACTGGAAGCTTGGAGACCAGACTGATATACTCAATAACTCAGGTAACTAACAGTAACACAGGTAATACAGGTAACTAATGGTAACCCAGGTAACTGATAGTGTCTCATGTAACTAACGGTAACACAGCTAATTAATGGTAACTCAGGTAATTAATGATGACACAGGTCATTAATGTTGTTTCTGGTAATTAATGGTGACTCAGGTAATTAATGTTGTCTCTGGTAATTCATGGTGACACAGGTAATTAATGGTAGCCCAGATTTTGACATTTATTTAGTGTAACGATTTGGTTCATGTATTTCTATCTCGTATGACTCATAAGCACAGTTCAAAATTGCTTGACATATAATTAAAAATTGCGAAAACTGTTTTAATAATGACATGTAGATCATATAGTAAATATATTGTGTTTTTTGTCTCATAAACAGTAAATCTGTTTATAGCTCAGGTAAGCCTTTCAGGCCCCCGGCCTGTTTTGTATCTTTTTTGTATATTTTTTGCATTTGTTCAGGCTCGGTGATGAGACACACATACCAGACAAGAGGAAAGTTCAGTGTGACAGTTATAGCCAGAAATAAGGTGTCCCTCCAGACAGAACACGCGGTGGTGGTTGTCCAGAGTCTTATACAAGGTCAGTGTTCTATACAAACAAGATGCCCCCAATCCAGCCCCCCTCTCCCACAGAGTCCAGAGTCTGCAGGTCATGCAGTGTTCTATAGAAAGAAGGTCCCCCTTCCAAAGAACAAATGGTGGTCAAAAGTCAAGAGCCTCATACAGGGATAAAGGTCAATAATGTGATTCCCCACCCACAGAACAAGTTGTGGTCTTCTACAAGGTTAGTGTTCAATAATTTTAAATGAGCCAGCCCCCCCCCCCCCAGCCCCCTTTATTGAAAGAGCAAGATGTGATCAAAGTCCTGTGTCTTGGAAAAGGATAGTGTACAATTCAATGTGAAGAAAGTTTCTCTTGACCCCAAAATTTAATATTTATATTTCTTCCTGTTATTTTTAAGGGGTGAGGTTGATAACGAGCACCAACATTACTGAGACAAACCAGGTGATTGAGCTGAGAGCCGAGACGTTACCAGAACCGTGTCTGGGGACATAACACCACTGGAACCTGGGGGACAACCAGAAAGGAGTCCAGACAACAGAACCGGAGATAGATTACAAATACAGGAGAAATGTAAGGTAAGTGTAGGGATAGAAAGGAGTCCAGACAACAGAACCAGAGATAGATTACAGATACAGGAGAAACGGAAGGTAAGTGTAGGGATAGAAAGGAGTCCAGACAACAGAACCAGAGATAGACTACAGATACAGGAGAAACGGAAGGTAAGAGTAAGGATAGAAAGGAGTCAAGACAACAGAACTGGAGATAGACTACAGATACAGGAGAAACGGAAGGTAAGGGTAAGGATAGAAAGGAGTCCAGACAACAGAACCAGAGATAGACTACAGATACAGGAGAAACGGAAGGTAAGGGTAAGGATAGAAAGGAGTCCAGACAACAGAACCGGAGATAGACTACAGATACAGGAGAAACGGAAGGTAAGGGTAAGGATAGAAAGGAGTCCAGACAACAGAACCAGAGATAGACTACAGATACAGGAGAAACGGAATGTAAGTGTAGGGATAGAAAGGAGTCCAGACAACAGAACCAGAGATAGATTACAGATACAGGAGAAACGGAAGGTAGGTGTAGGGATAGAAAGGAGTCCAGACAACAGAACCAGAGATAGACTACAGATACAGGAGAAACGGAAGGTAAGTGTAGGAATAGAAAGGAGTCCAGACAACAGAACCGGAGATAGACTACAGATACAGGAGAAACGGAAGGTAAGTGTAGGATAGAAAGGAGTCCAGACAACAGAACCGGAGATAGACTACAGATACAGGAGAAACGGAAAGTAAGTTTAAGGATACAGAGCAACCAATCAGATTCTCCCCACAGGGCATAACCAATCAGACTCTCTCCTAAGAAATATTAAACCAATGAGATGATTTCATCACAGGGATTAACAAATCAGACTCTTTCCTCACAGTTATAAGCCAATTGGACTCTCTCCTCACAGGATTAACCAATCAGATTTGTAATAGTGATTAAGCAATCAGACTCTCTCCTCATAGAAATAAACCATACAGACATTTTCCTAAGAGTGATTAACAAATTAGATTCACTCCTCTAAGCCATCAACCAATCAAATTTATTCCTCACAGTCATCAACCAATCAGATTCTCTCTTTCCTATTTATACTCTCTGTTGTTTTTTTTACAATGTTCAACCATTAAAACTCCTCTCATGTTCAGTAGTTTATCAATCATGCTGTCTTATCTCAATATATCAACAATGGAAATGTTCTCCCAAATACAAACCAAACTCTCTCCTGTTGAAATCTACGATCGGAATCCCCAACAGAGATCTTTGAGTCAAATCTCCCTTCATAGAAAAGAGCCAAAGAGAATCTCTCCTTGTAGAAATCAATAAAAAAAAAATTCATTATTGAGAAAAAAAATCAGAATCTCCTTGTAAACCTTAAGAAATTCTCTTCGTGTTAATAATGGCAAATCAAATACTCCTTACTTACATGTAGCCAGTTGTATGGCAAAAGTAATGTTCAACATGTCGTGAATATTTCTGATATTTTCCAGGTTTATTGCGACAGTAAAGGCTTACAACAATATCAGTCAGGCGGAGTCAGTCCCAGTAGAAATCACAGTCCTGTCTAAAGTGAAGAACCTGGAGGTACGCTGTCTGAACGACTCACTGGTTAACACATCACTGGAATTCGCCGCGCTGAGTTACTCCGGCTCTAATCTGACATATGTTTGGGACTTTGGAGACGGCACTCCTCCCCTACAGTCCACAGTCACAGGGCCACACGTCAGACATACTTATGTCAAGTACGTATTTCTGTAAATCTATAAGTCAATTGTTAAAATAACGTATGTTAAGTAAGGATTTTGGATGAAGTACGAGTCAGTTATATTGGTACTAGTACAACAGTAAAAATAAAGGCAGACTTGCTTATTTCACTAGAGGTTCAGATTCAAAAATATTTTTTGTTGACAAATTAATTAGCATTGACTTTTTTGATTGTACGGGATCCAGTTTATATTTTTCTGAAATCTTTAAAGTTTAAAATCAAGAGTAGCATATGAATTGTCTTTTGTATGTAATAATGACGGAAATGGGGGGTCTGCTGGAAAAAAAATCAAGTTGAATTTTTTTTGCAGTTATGAAGAAGCAAATGGAAAAAAGTCTGCCATCTTCAATTAGTCCCCACTTCATTTCACCTGAAACATTAACACCAGGGCCATCAAAAACAAGTTCTTCAGTCAGTGCAGTGAAAGACCAAGTGATACATATAACAGAGCCTGGGTCTGAGATATATGACGTAGCATCAGATGACACTAAGAAAATGTAATGCTCACATACATTTTGGATTTAACAAAAAAGCATTATATGTGTTTATAAACTGATTTTCTATTTAATTCAGGGATGATGGTGAAGTATCTGGGGTTGAAGACATTGAGCTGCATGGTGCAGTACAGTATCTTTATTCAAACTGTTTCTTGGATCCATTTGAGTTAGTAATATGAATACATGTAATAAACAATATATGCCCACATCTATCAATCCAGGCACATAAAAAGAGAGCAATTTAGTTTCCTTGATAATTGTTGGGTACCCCTTTTTTAACAGAAATCCTTTGTTTCGGTCTAACAATTTATTCATTAGAAATAACTAATGGTGAAGAGAGTAAGAATGAGGATGAGGAATTTTAGCCAAGCTTTCTTGTATCCCTAAGTTAATATTTTCTCGACATTCCTGTTTATGTGATTTTAAAGATTAGAAAATGGCAGAGATCACAAAAATAATGGTATTAATATGTATCGATGCTTTTATTTTTATGCGCCCGAATCGTTTATTGTCTTTGTCCAGTCTGTCTGTTTATCTGTCTGTTGACAAATTTAAAACTTTAATTGCCATAGCTTTTGAACCATGATAGATAAGGACATCATATTTTGTATGCATTATCAACTGATTAAGCTCTTTCAAATGACACCAAGGTCAATGACCTTGTGATCTACACTTTGACCATTATGATAAAAAAGCCTTTTCGAACTTTGTTGTTGATGGGTGCATAGTGGTTCACAAACACATCTTGTTTAATTATAATATTTATAAAAAAAATAATTTTTTATGTGAATAGTTTTTTAGCTCACCTGAGCTGAAGGCTCAAGTGAGCTTTTCTGCCCTTTTTTGCCCATCGTCCACTTTTCACAATTTTGACTTCTTCTCAAGAACCACTGGGCTAATTTTAACCAAACTTTGTACAAAGCATCCTTGGCTGAAGGGGAGTTTAAATTATTAAAATGAAGGGCCAAGTCATTTCACAATAGGAAATAATCAAGAAAAGACAAAAATAGGGTAGGGCCATTAAGAAATCTTCTTTTCAAAAGCCACTGGGCCAGAGAAGCTAAGACTTATGTGAAAGCATCCTGGAGTAGTGTAGATTTTTAATTGTACAAATCATGACCCCTGGGGGTAGGGCGGGGCCACATTAGGGAATCCAAGTGTTACATAGAATTATAAAGGAAAAAAACTTTAAAAATCTTCTTTTCAAGAAGAGCCAGAAAAGCTTAAACTTCTGTGGCAGCATCCTGTGGAGTATAGATTCTAAATTGTTCGAAACCTGATCGTAGGGGTAGGGTGGGGCCACAATAGAGAATCCAAGTTTTTCATAGAAATATAAATGAAAAAACTTTAAAATTCTTCTTTGCAGGGACTATTTGGCCAGAAAAACTGAAAATTATGTGGAAGCATCCTTGTGTAGTATAAATTTTAAATTGTCCAAATTATGACCCATGTTGTAGGGTGGGTGACAATATTATTATAAGGGGGGAATTTGGTAAAGAACAGAATGGTCAAAGCCACTCAGGTGAGCAATGTGGACCATGGGCCTCTTAGATTTATATATTTTTGCAGATTAGATCGTGATGTTTTATTAAGCAAGTCAGATGAGGAGG